TTTGTCACTTATTTATTCAACCAGAATGAATGTTGATCCAAGACTTCCCACTCTCAGGAATGCACCAAAAGTAGGAAATTATTTCAGGTTAAAGATGCAAAACATCTCACCTTCAAAAATCGCTTCTTCACAGTRATAATCAATACTAAGAAGTTCAGAATAGTCATTATTTCTGTTTATGGATTTCTTCAGAACKGAACTTTCTTCCAGTGAATCCAACRCTTTTCAAAAATATCCTGTGGTTAAAGTTCAATCAAATCAGTTTCCATATATTAAATCCTAAATCCTTCCTACATTCCYGTTTCATACTTGTTCCTGGTATTCTTCAAACTCTTTCCTTTACCAGCTTTTAGTTGATTTAGATTAAACCTTGTAATAATGCCAAAAATTAATTCCTGCCTTGACAAGGGATTTTGGAATGCTGGCGCTGCACCTTTTTGTCTCTTCAGGGCTGCTTGTCAAAACTCCCTGCTTTACAAGGTTTTTGTTTTTTTAAAACACCCTTTTTCACAATCTCATTCTGCCCCTCAGGTACCCCCCTGAATTCCTCCGGTCCTGTGAATCCTCTCAGCTTTTCTGGAGTCCCACAGGCCCAGCTCAACGTGCGCTTCTCCCTCAGGTTTGGATCAAACTGAATTAAACCTTCACTGGAGATCATCAATCCACAGCAGGATAATAGCAGTGGAAAAAAGGTTCCTACCCCAAAATGCAGTTCAGAGGTTCCTTTCTCCTTCCACATCAGTGTCTGTGTCAATGACTGGGATGGATTCATCCAAAAATTTCTCTCAGCTCCCAAAATCCAGCCAGAATCTTCCAGCGACTCCTTCTCAAAACCGTTCCTTTCGCCTTCCATCCTTCCCGTGCCTCTCGCTTCTGTGCGCGACCCAAACAATGCGATTTTATTTTGGGATCCTTTCCATTTTTAGCAATAAATCAAATGAGTTTTCCCCTTTCTCCAGCTGTAATTCACCCACATTGTTGCAGTGGAGCTTATTATCTCATTTACATTTTTAAGAGCTTTTCAAAGTGTAGGATATCTGGGCTGGAAAGCAAAACATTCGATTTCTTTGTTCTCTGGCCAACACAAAGCACTTCCAAGGTCAGGTATGGTGTAGACATTCAACAGCAAACATGTTTACATGGCATTGGAAAGCCTGTTTAACTGAAAAAAAAAAATAATGTCTTTATAAGAGTGATGCAAGTCAACTTAGCAACAGCTGAGGGACGGGAATTCGTTCCGAACCTGGAAAAATTTAACTGAATAAGTTAAGTTTTGTTTTCTGTTCAGGGGAAAAAAGCCTCTGACTCTTAAAAATTGGCCTGGATTTTTTTTTTTTTTTTGATCCCTTTTTCTTCATCTCAGCAGTTATTAATCATAAGCTCTGCTGCTCTTTGGGCAAAATCGACACTTTGAAGACAAGAAATAAAAACTGCATTTCTAAACAAAACAAAACATTGTTCTGGGGTGTACCTGGGGTAAATCCTCTGCTGTTTTTAAGGGTGTTCTATGTGGTAAAAGCGTCCCTGTGTGATGCAGAAAATGATTTGAGGGTTCTGGTAGCTTCAGGAATTGCCATCAGCATTCAGGCTCTGGCCACTGCATGTGAGGCTTTTTGACTACAGAGAAAATTTTCAGTGTGATCTTCAAAAAGGTGCATTATTCATGGCATCCGTCATAATTCCTGCTAGAAAATTAAAATCACGGGCAAAAACCTGCTTCCTTCTAATTGCCATTTTCAGAGTTAATCACATGCAGGAATCTGCAGCAGCCGTGAGATTTGGATGTTCCTTTTTCRTTTTGGCACGGCTTTGATCGAATGCCGAACTTTTGGTTTGACTCGTTTTGCCATTGTGCTGATAAAATAGCTGGAATACTCAAATGAACATTAATTACTCGTGGAATTTATGCAGCTCTGGAATAATCCAAAAAGGGTCCAGTTAAAGGTATTTTGTGATTGATCCAAGGAGTTTGTTGAAGTTTTTCTTTTGCCATCCCAACACAAAACCTGCCAACAGCCAGTTATGATGTGATTGGAAAAGTCTGTGAATTCATACAGTAAATTCTGTTTTGGACAAATGGTGAATGGATAACTGGAAGAGTTGTTAGTTTGCTGTACTTACATGCTATAGTAAAAATACCTTCTTTCTAAATTTAAATTTAAGACATTTTCTGCTCTCGTAATGAAATAAACCATGTGTGCTCYGTGCTGGCAAATGCTATCTGGAGTAGGTGAACCTAACAAAGGCTGTGTTATCTGAATTTCCCAAATGAAATGACTTACAGCTGCACTGAAAACTTTCAGATTCAAAGGAACCTCTCACTTTATCCTCTGCAGAAGAAGTTTGTTGTAAAGAAGAGAAGGAAAAGTGAGAAATGAAGGAAGGAAGGAGCAGGGCACCCGTTCTCTTTGCCACCACGTGGTCGCAGTTTTTGGCAGGGACAATTTTGAGTTTCATACTCAGGATTTGCAGATGGCTGTGATACAGATCTGCTCTCTGACACAAATACATTTGTATTTGCACACATTTATATTTGTGCATTGAAATGCTGCCTCTTGGCCATCTTCAAAGTGCTGTGGAAGAGTCAAACTTGCTCCTGAGCACAAGGGAATGACGAGGGATGTGTGATGAGGTTTCCTCCCTCCTTATTTTTCACCCTGCCAAGCCATTTGGGCTGGAAAAGCTGATCCTGAAAGAGCAGGAGAAGATGGGTCATCCTTTGTAGTTTATCCAAAACACACTCCAGGAATGTTCCTGAGAGTCATCCTGGGCTGGTTATGAATGGACACTCTGGGGTTATGGCAGGATTTTTGTCAMATTAATTGGGTTTTTGATGGTTTTCCTGGTACATGGAATAACCCTGCTCCTTATTGCATCTCCACATTGCTCATTTTAGCTTTTATGCTCGTTTGTGTTTTACCTCACAAGACAGATGTACAAAAAGCAAACAAAAAGCCTGCAATTCACAAGTAATTCCCACATACATTTTATTATATTAATGCAAATTCCTGGTACTGCAGGACTTGTTGAGCACTGAAAACGGGTTATACGTTCAAAGCCTGGATCTCAACRTTTCTCACAAGCTGCGATAGCGTCAAAGTCCCTGGGCAGATTTGAAGTTCATGCATGGGTCTGGTTACAATTTTTGGCATCAGAACATGTAACAGTCTTACAGCTCTAAGACTTTAAAGTTAATGCCTGGCATCACTTCAAAACAGCRTGCAAGATCTATCACAAGTAGTCCTCTTATCTTATCTCAATAGCAATTTTATCCTGTAAATTATTGGAGAAYGCAGGATTTGGGTGCTGTGGAGAAGAGCGAGGCATTTTTGCTGTGAAATCTTTGCACCACGAGGACTTTTAACGGTCCTGAGTTGTTCACAGGTATCCAGGGAGCAAACATTGATCATGTGGTGGGTCCTGAAAAGTATCCCGAGTCCGTGGGCTGCTTGGTTTTTCCTCTCAAGGGAAAAGCAGGGCGCCAAGGGAGGTTTGGGTTGGGCATTAGGAAAGATTTTTTCACTGAAAGGCTGGTCAAGCATTGGGACAGCTTGCCCAGGGAAGTGGTGGAGGGGAAGTGTTCAAAAAACAAGCAGGTGGAGGATTTAGGCTTAGTGACCATTGTAGAATCGGAGAAGAGGTTGGACTTGGTGATCTCGGAGGCCTTTTTTAGGTTCTGTGATTCCAGGGTGCTCTGCAGAAGTTCTCAGAGGTCTTTTTTAGGTTCTGTGATTCCAGGGTGCTCTGCAGAAGTTCTCAGAGGTCTTTTTTAGGTTCTGTGATTGCAGGCTGCTCTGCAGAAGGTCTCTGTGCAGCTCAGCATTCCTAAAAGCAGCCCTGGAAGCTCCTTCAGTGGCATTTTCAGCATGAGCCCCTTGCCGGGTCCAGCCCTCCTCCTTTTCCCCGATGGGTATCACTGCCCCGATTTCCTGCCATACAAAAGATAACTCCAAATATTCCCTTTCCGCAGCCACAGCCGCCTCTGTGCCGGTGTCAATCCCCCATCCACATTGTGCACTTTGCCTGGAGTCAGCACTTGCACTTAACAATGCCTTTATTCAAGCTGACAACATCACTAAGCTTTTAGTAAATGTGTGAGTAAATGTTAAGCGTGTATTCAAACACCCAACAATGAGTAGGAAACTTTCAAAAAAAAAAAAAGAAAAAAAAAAATCTTTGAAAGTTGGTATTGTTTGTTTGGTGTGTATCTGTTAGAAATAACACAGGCTATCAGTTCCTTGGGGCACGCTGCTCCTTTGTAAAGCGTGTAACAAAAAGATCAAGGCTCTGAGCKACTGCCGGCATGRAAATAAATATATAAGGAGAACAATYGTGGCAAAATAAATTTKTCGATGCGTTTTATGAGCTTGGTTTAGGAGTGATTACTTCAGAGCTAAATATKGGGTAGTTGTGGTGAAGTGACATGATCATGGGATGCCTTTTCTTTATTGCCATTTATACTTTATTTGTAGATCACGTGCTGGATTTGACTACAGGGCAGGAGGGGAGCCCCTCATCTCGGCCAGCATCCCATTTCAGTAATATGGAATACATTTCCACTGCAAATTCCAGACATTGTTTTCCAGAGAGAGGATTATTCTGGCTTTAAARAAAAAAACTGTTGGTACACTGCAAAACTGCTCCTAGGAAGCCCAGGTTGTACAGAGAGGACGACAACAAAAACACGGGACATCTGCAAATGCAAATGTTGCAATATTTCCATTTGCCTTCCAATCTTTGAGGGGATTTTTTACGTTTTTAGTAGGAATTCTTGTAGCCTGTAATGGGATAGAACTTTTAAGATGTCACTAATCCTGTTCAACCAATGGTCCTGCCTATGCAAAATTACTTTTTTGAGTGGCCAAAATGGGTCTGTCACATCTTAGCCCCAAGCTCAGCTCCTCTTTCTTCCCCAGCTCGTTGGAGGACATCACCTGGAAGTTTTGGCTGCCATCCCATGTTTCTCACGTGTGTTTTTGCATCCCTTGGTGTTGTTGCAGGCCTTGCAGGACGAGTTGGAGAATTACCGGGCGCAGGTTTACGACGCTCAGAGGAGGCTCCAGCGCAACGAGCTCAGAGCCCAGGAGCAGGTACTGTCCCCATCCTGTCCCCATCCCCTGGGCAAGGAGGTGCAATGGTTAAAAATAATCCTTCAAAGCAAAAGCACATCTTTTCCTGCAAATTCTCCACTTTCTTTTCTGTTTTGTTGGTAATAAAAAAAGAATTAAACTGTCTGAACCCTTCAGGCAAATACTTATCTGCTGCTCTCTGTTGCAAGTTGGTATTTCAGCTATTTTAGCTGTTAAATGATGCATTTATTTTGAACTGCCTGTTTTCAGCTGCCTGTTCTGTTTTCATGGAGCTTTCTGAGACTATTCGAACCTGCTCTTCAATGGTTTGTATGAAGGGAATTATAATTGGACAATAACGGCTAAAAATAATCTTTAGTCCTGATCTTCTGCATTCATTGTCCAAACATGTCTGTAAACAATTTCAGATGATGAATAGTGCTAAAATTTTTCTGGACACTTCCAGTGAAGTCAGAGATTATTTAGCGTGCTTTGAGCAAAACAGCGTGTGTTGTTTACAGGCAGTGTTGGAACAGAAAGTCAATGATCTGCATTCAAACCAGATTAAATTGAAATATTCAGGAGAATATGCAGGTGATGAATACCTGAATCAGATAGCAATTTATGTATTTCCAGTACAAATCGGGTTTTGAAGCATTTGGGGACTTTTATTCAATGCTGAGTAAACACTATCAACAGTATTTATCCTGCATAAAGCATTTCTGACTCTCTCCCTGCAGAAATAAAGAGTTGGGGTGGTTGTAGAAGATTAATTATCATGACTTCCAAATACTTTTTCCTCAGTTTTTGTCGTTCTGCTGGCACATGGGAATCCTTTTTCACCCTGGTGTTGAATTCCTCTATTTCCTCTCTGCAGTGCTGGTGATGAGCTGTTCCCTCCTGTCCCCCTCTGCCTCCCAAATCCAAATGTCAGACCAGGCTCATCCTCCAGTGCCTGCAGCAGCACAGGAATGTGGTGCAGTGAGGGAGCTGGCCCATTGCATTTTGGCTTCAGAGTCTCCTGGAAAAGGAGGAGGAAAATCAGCTCCTTAATTCATGGCTGTCCCTCCCAGGGAACAGCGCTGGCTGCATGCTGGGAGGGGCGTTCTCTTCTAAATTTCATCCTTTTTTAAGTTTTCTTTAGTCTCTGCCACTGCCATTTTACTTTTTCTTTTCTCTCCTGACCTGTTTTGAGAAGGATCSAGAAGAAGAAACAAAAAATGAAATACAGAGGTAGAAGGCTGCACATGCAGATTCATGGGGTTGTCCCCCCTTTCTGCCTTTGAGGTTTCTCCTACAGGAGCACCTGCTCCAAACCAACCTACAGAACTATCCTGTCCAGACTTAGTTAATGTTAGGTAAGGTAATTAATGAGGAGTAGGGGTAGGATTAAGGTTAAGGTTAGGGTTACAGTTCCTGTACCACCCAGCACCAACTGGTTCAGATGGTAACATCCCATTCCCCAGTATAATGAAAGAGGAATGTTATTTAAATTTCAGTGTTCTGTCCATCTTTGAGCTTCTCCTGCAGGCTTTTGTTGGCAGATTTGGTRGAACTCGTATCCAAGTTCCTCAATGGTCTTGTCTCTGCCTTTCCTCCACTGGGACTTTCTGAAGCAGCTGGAGCCCCTGAAGCTGGTTTGGTTTAGGTGGCTTCGGTCTATTCTGCAGACAAACATTTTGTTAGTTGTTATTTGTCTTCTCTGTGACCGGTTAATTCATTCGTTCTGCTTATCTTTCCAGAAAAAAAAATGCAAAAGTGACAGCTCTGACATGATTCCAGTTGCTAGGCTTGGCCAGGCCACCTGWAAACATGTTCATCAAGTGTTAACAGTGGTTAACAACTCATCAGCTGATCAGGGAGTGGAAATATTCAGGGCAGTAACTTGCTTTCTGCTTTTACCAAATATTGTCTGAATCAGAATTGCATAAAACATGGAGATTTGTGCTGGCGCCATTACAAAAGCCGCTTTTCTGAGCTTTTACATGTCTATAAATAAGGAGGAGAGGGGGTTAAAGAGCTTCTGTTTTTCATTAAAAGGAAAAATCTCRTGTTTTGATTCTATAACAACAACAAACAAATGAATGAGACATGAAAAAACATTTTGTTGTGCTTTTAATTAAAACTAAAAAGCTGTTTCTCGTTATGGCTTGTTGGGTGGTATCTYAGTGCTCCATGTTGGCCGTTTTTTCCAGTGCAATGTCCTTATAACTCTTCAGCCTTTAGGAGTGACTGACAGAGCCACAAAGTTTAACTCTTTGTTCCAGTGACCCTCTGGTGATCACACAGGCTTAACCTTCTGTTGTTAGAATTATCCAGAGAGACAAATTGTCCTATAAATAAAGGGGGGAATAAATATATTGGGCTGTCAGCAAGCCCCGAGCTGCTCTAGAGGCGAGCGTGGCGCTGCAGTTGGAGAGGAGCTGTTGTTTTTGTGGAGCTTTTCCACTCCCATAYTTTGTGTTCTTGGATGAATTCGTGTTTACTCCTTTTTGATTTTCTCTCCCCTTTTGCAGTGTGGGTTGGTGCAATCATATCGTGTCTGTGTTGTCTCATATGGCAGCGATCTCTGGGTGATGAGTTCCAATAATCAAATTTGTCAAAAGTGCTGGCCTGAATAATTTTATTTTTTCCATGAAGGTTGTGCTGTCTCTGTCCTGRTTTTCCAGGACAAGGAGCCATGTGTTCAGTAATGCTGCACTTTGGGATTGGAGTCTCACAGCTGTATCATCTTCTTTCAGGTCAAAATTTTGGATGCTTCCTTCAAAAATCAAATGTCCAGCTTCTTGAGACGTTGATAATTGTATTCATGGAAAGTGGMAAACTGGCAATAAATGTAAAAACTCACATGAACTATATAGGTTTATATAATTTTTTTTGTTGTTATTAAACAGATATGGTCGCAAGACAGTTAAAGCAGTCTGGGAAGGTTTCTGGCAAATTTGGGTGTGTCCAAACCATTTCCTTGCAAAGCAGCGCTGGAGTTTCTTCCATCCCAGTCCTACATAACTCTGGGATCAGTTTTCTGTCCCATGATCCTATTTGAGTTGTGTTCCTGTACCCTGAGCTCCTGGAGTGAACGTGCCCTGTGGTTCTCTCTGATTTGTGCCTGGATCTAAAATGAGTTGAGATTTCCTACTGAACATTATTCCTCAAGTCCTGTGGCTTCGTGCGTTTGTCAGTCACGGTTAAAAAATCTCCATTGTTCATACAGGAGACTTCACATCCTGTGAATGTGTAATTAAAAATGACACACATCAGCCAGAGCTTAATGAATCCAGGAATTTAGGCATGTGCAACAAGTTTTGCAGAATTGGGGCCTGTAGAGGAATTTGTGGTAGTGATCTTTTTTTTTTATACTATCCAGATTTCTTCAGCCTACATCATTTCATTTCAAATTCTTTTTTGAAGTTTAATCGCCCCAACTCAGTTTACTAAAAAGCTCCAAGATTCTGTCTTTTGGGAATTACACACAAGAATTTTCTCAGGAATAAAAAACCCTCTTATTTTTTTCACTGCTTGTTCTAATGTTTCTAGCCGTAGATTTGGATTGAGTATAATGTAAAATTGGGGATAATAGAGGGGGAAAGTTCCTCGTGTTTGCAAACTGCTGAATTTGCAGCACTACAGATACTAAAACCATGAGGATACCTCCAGTCATAAATCGAGTTTTAAAGGATACAGATTCTGAGACAGCAAATCAATTATGTTCAATTCATTAATATTGCTGAGGAAATGAGGGAGAATAGCAACGGAGGTTTTCAGCCCTTTAATTTATTTTTCTTCCAACAGATTACAAAAAAAGGAGAAAGGAGTTATCTGAATGAGGATGTTATAGAAGTATTTGGCATAAAATAGAACAGCTTGGTTTAAGTGGATTTCACTCGTGTTCAAATGAAAACAGGAGTGATAATTGTAAAAGAGCCATGATTCAAAAGCATTCAGCCAGTTTTCATTGCTAATGTTTATTATCCTGACTTGCTYGATTTTTTCATGGCTGCTGGATATTTACCACATTCAGCCCAACTTACTGTTTCCATGCCAACTAAATATATTTGTTSTCAGATGAATGCTGTGATGCATCCTTGTGAAATTTCGGTTGCTGTGTAGCACAGAGGAACTTCTGAGGCTTTGCCACACCTTCTCMTTGCTGGGAGCAGATTTGGGGAGCTGGGAACAAGGAATCTGTGAGCCACAGATGAGCAATGGGCATTGAATGTCCATGGTGTGAGTCCCACGTAGCTCTTAATCTGATKGCTGGAATATTTGAGTAATGTCAGCCCTTTCGTTTAGGGATTTTTGTCCATATTTCTTSTTTGAAACATTATCTGTGGAAGGYGTCCCTGCCCATGGCAGAGATGATCTTTAAGGTCACTTCCAACCCCAACCATTCCGTGATTCTYTGATTTTTGAAGGTATCAGAGAGTTTTAAATAGCATCAGATGGCAACCTGACTCGAATTCCCACATTTTCTCGAAGTGTGATCTTTCTCAGAAGATTCTGATTTCCTAGAATCAGATAAATAAGCTCTAGGCTGGGATATTTAAAAGCCCAGGATGGAGGGAGCCTTTGTGTCACCAAGCCAAGGGACGCTTTGGAAACTCAGATCCAGCACAGGCTGGAAGTGGTGATGAAACTCCACCGTTTGCTCCTCTTTCTTCAGCCCACGTTCCTGAAACACTTCCAGAGTTTCTCCCCCAGTTATTATCGACAGAGRTTTGCTTGTTCACGCAGCCAGTGTGAAAATACAGAGCCTGATSCTGCTGCTGCTGGGTTCTGTCAGCTCCCCCAGCACTGGTGAGCTCTCAGCACTTCCCAAATGAGGCACTGAAACCTCTCTCTGTAGAGCCACAGGACAGGAGGGATTGTGTGGAAGGTGACACGTGCTGGAATGTACGACTGAAGCACAAAAATGTGTTCCAGCAGTGGTGTCAGGGATGCTCAGAGCTTTGTTTCAGACTCAGTTATCCTGACAGAGCATTGGGGATGGCCAGAGCCAGGAATTAACCCCCTGTGTTGGAGCTGATGATCCTCGTGGGTCCCTCCCAGCTCTGGATGTTCTGGGGTTCCACATTTTCAGCTGGGCTGGTTTGGGGTCAGTTCCTCTGGATCAGGGGGTGTCAGTGGGGTCTCCCCCATGTCCCACTCACCCCATGGAGGGGACAACCCTCCTGCTGCAATCCCAACCTCCTGGGATAGCAGAGGGATGGCATTGACAGGAGCTGGAGGAACAAAGATGGCATCAGCCATGAATCATCTGGAAGGAGAAGAAAATAAATCCAGGATCTTCCAAATCCCAGCTGGAACAATAGCAGAGCCCTGGCGAGGGGGAGGCCGAGAGAACAGCGTGAATTTTCTAGCCACAACATTCCTGGTTGTTCCGTGGTGTTGACAGTGAAAGCTTTTATTCCTCTCCAAGTCGTGTAATCCCAGGAATGCTGCTCTTGCCATATGCAGCCCAGTGGTGGGGTTTGTTTCAAAAAGCTTCTTTTGCAGCTATGAATTATACGGACTCCGATTGCTTAACTGCAAACAGAGGATTTTCCAGGTGGGAGATTTTGGTTAAGAAAAGAGAGAGATGGGAATTCAAGCCACTGAAGGAATAAGGCCACTTTGGATGCAGGTTGGGAAAAGGAAAAAAAATGTCCTGGAGCAGGAAACTCTGTGCTCAACGAGGAGCTCCGCGGGGCTGGAGGTCCCCGTGGGTTGGTAAAACAACAAGGCAAGAATGTTTTGGATGCTGGGATGGTTTACTGGCTACAGACAGACAAAGGGGATGGCTGTGCCCTCAGTTTGTGCTTTATTGGAGCTGTCAGGACAGGGGAGGTGCTGCAGCAGGATTTTCTCCATGCAGAACAACGCGGTGTTCGCTCAGCACAACAACTCACTCAGCTGATCTYGGTTTTCAGCTGAGCCAAATTCACGGGATTTATGGTGTTCATTACTTTCCTTAAGAACTCAAGAACATTTGTATCRAGTTGCATGCTATTCCTGTGGATTGGGGAGAACCATATTTCAACGGGAGGGTCGGAATTCCCGCTGCCTGAAACCAGAGAGGATGTGGGCTGAAAAGTGCCGGATATTCGGGTTCGATGATTTTCTGAAAAGACAAATGCTCAGAGCTTGGTCTTCGCTGAAAACAATTGATGCATCGTTGGGTTCTTCATTAGGAAAAATKGTTTCAGAAGATTTCAAGCTCTGGTTAAATGTTGTCTTGTACAACAGGAACTGGAAAGATCTGAAATGTAAGGAAATTGTCAATTTTGGATGGTTTGTTCGAGCAGTAAAATTGCCACTCACCTTGCAGTGAGCTGCCACCATYCCTGGAGGGATTTTGGAGATGTGTGGCTGTGGTGCTGAGGGGCACTGGTGCCCTTGGCAGGCTGGCTCATGGCTGGACTGGATCTTAGAGGCTTTTTCCAACCTCAACAATSCCATGATTGTGCTGATAAGCCCTGGGCCAGGCCTGGCTGCTCCATTTGGAAAGCTCAGGTTTGGATATTTCTCTTCTGGGCATCAAACCCAGCTTTTATCTCTCTGAGAACGGTCAGTGCCCGGCAGGATCTSTGGGAAATTCCAAGTCCCCTGCTTTTTGCATCACTCTCKRTAATTCTGTGACTATTTATCTCTTYTTTTTTCACTAATTTACCGTGTGACCAGGCACACATGAGCTACGTGTGGCWACTCCAGCTCTCTGCTGACACCAGAGATGATTGATGGCAAAATTCTAAACCTCATATATTAGCCACCAACCTGAATAAACAAAGACCCGTGTGGCAGCTTCATATTAAAAGCTATAAAACCTTCCTGGGGGTTCATGGATTAAATCAACTCACCAAAATGAATTTCCAAAAAAAAAAAAAAAAAAAAAAAAAAAAAAAAAAAAAGCTGTCTCAGGACTCGAAGAAAAACGAACACAAGTAAATGAAATAGAGCCATCCTCATCCAGTCTAAAGCCCTCCTGAGGGATGAAGAATTGCAATTTTAAACATCCCTCAAGAGTGCAAGAGGAGACACAGTATTTGTGGATCCTAGGGAGGCAGCTTGAGGCTATAAAAGAACAAAAAAGCCTTTAAGGCACACAAAAAAAATTTCCCTGCAGACATGGCTTTCATTGGTGAAAAATAAGTGTTAAAAAATAAAAACCTTCTGCCATTAAAATGAGTGTCCATTAGCCCAGTCAATGTTATTTTTGAAGAATAGAAGTTGTAAGAAGTGATTTAGASTTTTGCCATGCACTATTTTAATCTCTTGGGTCAATAAACCTTGATAGTGACTTTAGCCAAAAACACCAGCAGGTTGTTTACCATGACATGGCTGGAAGCAGCTGGGCACTCTTTTTCATCTTATTGTGATGCATTTACCAGTGAGCAGAGCTGAAAGGAACACATTTTGTCTTCTCAAACAAATTGGAATTGTGTCCTAAAGGTTTCACTGAAAAAAAAAAAAAAATATGGATCTCTTGTCCCTGAAACAGAGTAAGGAGTCAGCCCCAAGCCAGACTGCAGCTCCCGGGGCTGGTTTTTCATTTTCTGTCTCCATTTTCAGCTGACCCTGTAAGATATCTCCAGACTTTAAAGCCCAATACAATCTTTCTTCCTGACTTTCCAAGAAACACCTTTGTCAGAAGGGAATGATCCTCTGCTGCTCTGCAGAGCTAATAACAAATGTTACCAGCGTTGTGAAAGCACTTATTTGGAGCACAACTGCAGGTTAAACCATTAAAACCAGTCACCTGGTTGCAAGAAAACTCTTGCACAATTAGAAAATTAATTCCTTCACAGAGCTGTATTAAAATTTTTCTCRCATCTGCATATTGGCCAGGTGCTCATCCAGATCCATTAAATAGAATCTTTATTAATCAAGAATTAGGAAATAAAAGCATTTTGCTGCTCTGGCTGCCCGTTTCTGGTCTCGTCTCACCAAGAATAAATGGAACATGTTGAATCAACTGAAATATATGTTTCTGCTCTATCAAGGTCCCCACCCAAATGAGCTGTTGGCTCAGAAAATATTTATCCTGGCAGAGCKCTTATGCATAACTCTGGAAGCCTTGATAGAAATAGTAGCATAAATTTATTGGTGTAGCTCTCAAAACCATAAATTTTGATCGCTGGCTCATGCACGAGCTGAGTTCAAACGAGGTTTCCTGTCTCACCTCTCCTTTTTTTCCCCTCCAGATTTTCATAGTGGCATCACTTCCTTGCRCTTTCCCGAGGAAAGCCTCTAATTGAACATTTGCATAGAGATCTGGCGATTCCTGCTGCCTGTGGGGGTGACTCAGAGGCAGGATTGTCCTGAGGTTTTATCAGATGGTTTTATTCCTTTTGTATCGATAATTGCACCTATGTGAGGTTCTGGGGTGAGGGATGGAGTCGGGGTCAACTCAGCCTTGGGGTCTCATGTGGGGAAATTCTGGGAGTTGGAATTCATGGCTTCTTCAGGTGTTGGGTTGTGGTGGATTTCAGCCTTTTGGGAACTAAAAACGRCACCAAAGTTGGTGTGTGATCCATTGGGAAAAAATAAAAAATCCATCTGAAAGTTTGAAGGTATTTTATGAGTTAATCTGATATCGAAGGCCTTTGATCCTTTATCTACACATTCAGTTGCTAATCCAGAAGAACACCAAAGTCCTTGATTAATTTGAATTARGCAGTTAATCCCATTGGGAGTTCAGTGCAGATGTGAGGCTCTGATCCAGCCAAGCAGGAACGTGATGGGCTGGCCTGAGCCACGCTCTCCATCTTATCCCAGGTCAAAACCCATCAAATTCAACATTCTGGAGAGATAAGAAACACAGCCCTTCCACCTGATCTCTGCTCATGTGACTCTGCTCTGTACCTGCTCTTTACTCAGCTTCTGCTAAAATTGATGAAAWTTTCCCCCTGTCCAAAGCTCCTCGTTTTGGGGTGAACTTTTGGTCTTGGAATAAGTCTAAGATGTTCAAATTTACTCATTGAAAGTTCTGTAACCTCCATGAAGTTGAGGAAAGCACAAAGTGCAATGAAAAATAGTTGCATGATGAGTAATTTTTTTTAATGTCTACAAAAGTGCCTAGAAGTTGAGAAATTTTGTAAAAAATATCTTGGTAAACAGGAACTCAGCTTGTCTAAGGGAGCAAGGGGCAAATGACACCTCACTGACCTGGTTCAGATCCCACCAAAGACAAACAGAAAACTTCTGACTGTCAATTTACAAGGTGTGTCTGTATAAATGCTCAGTTCAGATGGATTTGAGAATGATGATTACTCCTTCAGACCATGGTCTTTTCTCTTTTCTTTCCTCTCCATTTATTTTTTCTTTTGCCTTTGTCATTTTTACCTCTTTTGCACTTTACAGGTCTTTGCTGATCTTTCTTTTCTCTCCTTCCCTCTCCCTTGATAATACAATTCTGTGTTTATTTGGCCTCCAATTTGGGCCAAAGAAGGAAAAAAAAAGTTACCCTCCAACATCTGAGAGCAGCCATTTATAGATAAATTTCTCTTTCTTTTGTTACAGTTGATTACTATACGAGAAGAATATGAAAAAATACTGAAAGGGCTGATGCCAGCATCTTCCAAAAAGGATTTTGAAGACACCATTTCATCTTTAAAGTCTCAGGTAAGTTCTTGTTATTYATCTTCAGCTTTTTGGGCTGGATAAAAGCCTTCTCTTCTAGRCAGGAGGTCACGACCTTTTGAAATTTGGCCAAAAACACTGAATAAGTCTCAAAACCAAATTATGGCAGCACTCACATTCTTCCCACTCAGTCGTCTTTCACAGAGCTGTTCTCCAGTTTGGGGGTTACCACACTGTGCCTTTTGATCCCAGATTTTTCTTCCAGGAAAAGCTGTGCTTCAATATCAGGGTTTTTTCCTCAACCTTTCAAACACAGCTCACAGTTACCTTTCATCTCCTTACCCTCTTTCTCCTGAAGGAACCATGTAGAGGCTGCCTATAAAGGGTGAAGAAGAGGATTAGAAATAATTTTATTTTCTGTCCAGCCTATGTAATAAAGCAAAATTGGATATTTTTATAAGATATTTGTTCTAAATGATCACTGTGATATTTCTACATTTTCCTAATTAATGAATCTCTGTAATGTTTTGTCTTGAACATTGTTAACCACCAGTTCTTCTAGATYAATGCAGAATCAGTTTGATTTATATGAAATAGACTATTAAATTGCCTAATAGGAATATCCAATTGTCATTAAAATAGGGAACTGCTGATTAATTGGGTGTGTTTCTTGCACGAGGTTCCCACTGAAGTTATTTGGGGCTTTTCTGTTTGGTGGTTTGAGAGCTGGAAGAAAACAAAATGTCATCATTGCCTGAATTCCAGTAAGGATAAATAGCTGTAAAGAAGGGTGATCAGAGCTGTAGAATAATGGGAATCCAAGGGAAATGCTGTCATGTGCATTAATCTGAGCTGGGAAGGACTGGGATGTGGGATGTGGGATCTGTCCTGGCTGAAGGGAAGGAMTGGGACAAAGACAGAGCCAGGCTGGTGGCTCAGAGCTGCCCTGAGCTCTGGGAAGAGCAGAAACCCCAAGGACACCACACACAAGTTTAGGCCCATTACCATCACATCCTTATACCAAATTTCAACACAATTTTCCAAGAAATTATTGCTCTACAACACCTCATTTCTCTTTCTTCTGCAATCTTCTCTGTGGAGATGATTGATAATTCAATGTGTTTGGGGTTTTTCCCTTTTTTACTTCTTTGCAATACATAAAGGTTATTCCATGTCATATTTTGCTCTRCGTGAGACACTTTCCCAGGCAGAGGCCACCTTTCATGAAAATAGGAAATTTTCAGAGTGGAAACTCACATTTCTCTGTGCAAGGGGTGACACAACTTCAGCACTCTGGTTATAAACATTCTGCTTCCACCTCAAGGGATCTCTAATGGGGGTGATGCTCTTTCTTATTTAAATAAGAGAACTCATTAAACTCATTAAAGTTGTGAGAAATAAAGAGTTTAAGGTCTACTAGGGAAATCTATTTCCAGCTGATAGTAAAAAGCTATTTTTAAAGGCTCCTAAAAGAACTATTAGSACTGCCTGGTAGGCAGCATCACTGAAAAAAATACAAGAATACCACGCCTTTTAACGAGTTAAAAAAAAAAATAAAATCTGATATCCACCTGCAGGGCTTCTGTAAGCAACAGCAGCAGCATTTCAAAGGAGTAAAAGTAACTGCACACATGAAAACCTGGGTGCTCTCCCAGAAATGGTCGCTGCTGGCTGCGTTTCCACACGCGCTGGCGGCGGAGACCACTCRGGGAGCTGGGCTCTCTCTGAAGCACAGGTGTCCTGCTCTTTGAAAATTGTTGAAATTCCTGTTTGAAAACATCAGACGAGAAGGGCACTGGAATCTGTGCACCTGTCAGGGTTATTTATTGTTGGAGGAGGATGAAGAGGACAGGCTGGGTAAAAGCGCCGAGCGGGGATAAAAATAAACAGCGGGAAAAGAAAATAGTTGAGGCTCGGGTGAAGTTTTCTAAACACGTGGCTAAATGCAAAGGATTGCTGCCTGGTTGTGTGCTCCTGGTGAGATGGCCAACAGTGTTAATGAGCATTAATTTTCATACACTCGAGGAACAGGTGAGTACCTTCATCACAAGAGCAAAAAGTGCARGGATCAGAGCGCAGGAGCCACCAGGGAGCTGAGAGGAGAACGGGAGCTCCCAAGCCCTTGCACAACCCAGGTGGTGCCACCAGCTGGGTTTAACAACTGGTTTGACTCTTTCCTGAAAGAGTAGAGAGTGCAGAGCCAGAGCAGAGCCAGGGAAGCCAAGAGAACAGTCTTCTATTAAATATTAATTCTGCTCGCAGCTAAAGTGTTACCGCATTTATTTAGGCAGGAGAGATCAGAAAAACTCCTTTAATGAAACGAGCACAAATATATAAATTGGAATTTTGTACCCTATTTTCATATGGGATGTATTTTACAGGTAAGTTTTCTGCAGAAAAGAGTCCTCCAGGAAGAGCTGAACGCCTGCCACGCCAAAAAGTAYGGGATTATCTTTGCTCTTGTGCTCCATTTCACACTCGCGGGTCCCGGTCCTTGAAGTTTTACGGCTCAATTCCAACGCTCCAGCACGGGCMCAGTTTGAAAAGCTCCTTATTTTCAGTAAACAAGCATCTGAGAATCTTTCCCCAGTGCTTAGTCAGAGCTGCTAGAGCAAGATTAGAGAACTTGCAGGTGCACTGCAAGTCCAGGCTTCGCCTGCACACCGGCGATGAGGCGGTGGCTCCGCGCACAGCTGCGGCTCCGCGGTGATGCCACCTCCTTTTAAGATAGAAAACAATGATGCAATGTAGAATATTACAGATCCCATCTTCAAAGGGCCGGATCTCCATGAGCCTGAGCTTTTTTTTTCCAGCTGTTTACACCCTCCAATATAAATTATGGCAAGTGCTGCRGCCATAAAAAGCCTGGCTGCGCCTTTAGAGTAAGTGATTCACGTGGAGAGGTGAGTACAGGGAAACTTCCTAGGAAAGCCACTCCATCTTTRTTGTGTTTGTAGGCATGGATGGTGTTTCATATCTCACATGAGGGTTTCTGCAAATCWGAATGGGTGCTTATAAAAATAGTGTCAGCATTTGTAAGGTATTTAAGCAACTGCAAAAAGGTTAGAGTGTGACAGTTGTTAGAAAATATTAATCCTCAATTATTTATTAACAGGAATTAGCTAAAACTAASTGGAAACTGAAAATGTCCTAGATTCTTGGTATGAAGTCCAGCATAGGTAACTTYGTTAGATAAATAGAAAGCTCCAGAYSCGCTGCCCACTGGACCCAGCCCTGCTTTCAGCCTGTTGTGTTTTTATGATAAAAATAACAAGGTGTAACTGACAGAAATCTCTTCCTTTCCAGGTAACTGATGGATCGGTGGGATCTCTGTGATTGCCAAATGGACTGCTTTGAATAGGTTTGAAGATTTGGCTCTTGTAAATTGTAATGCAAAGATTAGCGGTTCTTTTGTTAGCACAAAAAAAATGAACTTCATGAAAACATATTCATAGCTCATGTCAGCATGGATTTTGTTGCATCTTCYGTCCATTTTTTTTAATCATTATTTTATTACGGATTTATGCTTTTGATACACAGTTTCATGCCACACTGAGCTCGCTTACTGAGCAAGTAGACTTTGCTCTACTAATATTTTTGTTACTCCTTCCCAATACCATTCTTTTTACTTTTAAACATGAAGAAAACCCCATTTATTATTATTATTATTATTATTATTAATGTCAAAGATATTTTAACATATTTTGACATTGTTCCGTGTCCATGTGTTTACATAATATTAAAATATTCTTATTTTCTTACATTTTTGTTTTGACATTATTGTCCTGCTTGAGCATCTCACTCACCTCAGTAGCCACGGGGGGTTTTGTATGGTTTTTTTAAATGGGAATGTGTGTTGTTTTAAGGGATTGTGTTGGCACGAGGATGGGAGCACTGCAGTGGTGATGCAGGCRGCTCAGTGGGGTTGGATATTCCAGRCACAGGGAATTCCTTCCTCATGGTGATAACACAGGCATGGGTGTTGCTGGAAAAGAGTCAGAAGTGATGTGGCCGTGGCACCACGTGGGCGTGTGCCAGTTCTCTGCGGTCATCCCGGGGAATCTGAGCAGATCCCAGAGCGYTTTCTGGGATGGAGTTTGAGGAGCAGTGGGAAGCTGATGGAGCTGCTCAGCCCCCAGAGCTGGCTCTGCCTCCATCCATGGGCCAACGCTACCTCCTGGCCATCCACGGGATGGAATATCCACTGGGACATTCAGAATGGGCACATTCAGGTCTGCCAGGCACTGGAAAAGCTTTGTTTTCCCTGAGAAGCATCCTGCTGGTGTTGGGATAAGGCCCTGGACACCATCCCTTTGTTGKGATTGGGATCAAGGCCCTGGGCACCATCCTGCTCCTAGGGCTGGGATCAAGGGCCTGAGCACCATCCCTTTGTTGGGTTTGGGATCAAGGCTCTGGGCACCATCCTTTTGGTGAGATTGGGATCAAGTTCCTTGGGCACCATCCTGGTGGGGCTGGGATCAAGGGTCTGAGCACCATCCTTCTGGAGGGGTTGGGATCAGGGCCTGAGCACCATCCTTTTGGTGAGATTGGGATCAAGTTTCTGGGCACCATCCTGCTGCTGGGGTTGGGATCAAGGGCATGCTGGAGGGATTGGGATCAAGGCCATGGACAYCATCCCACTGGTGGTGTCAGGATCAAAGCCCTGGGAGCCATCCTGCTGGTAAGGTTAGGATCAAGGCACATTTGAGAAATGGGCCAGAAATTCCTGTTCCAAGCCCAGCCATGGCTCTGGCACCATGACACCCTGCTGACAGGGACGGTCACCTCTCCCATCTCACCCCGGTGTCACCAGGAGCTCAGAACTCAGAGGGTCCCACTCCCCTGGGTGCTCATGGCAGTGCTGTGCTGCCAATCCCAGCTCCCAGCTGGGCTCTTATCTCCTCCTGGCACCGAGATCAAGGAGGAGAGGCTTTGGCAGGCTGGCCCCATCCTCCCTGCTCCTGGCAGCTCCAGCACACTCCGTGCCAAAGCCCGGCTCTGGCACGGCATTGCCAGCCCAGCCTGGGCCCGGGCAGGTTTTCCACCTTCCTTGAATCAACAAGTGATTCTTCTAATTACAGATAAGGGCTTGTCACAGCTCCTCTGATAAAGGAGGAGGTGCCGTGGCAGGTGCCGCAAAGCCTGGCCTGGGGCGATGGGGAGATGGCAGCAGCAGGGATTTGTTGGGATGTGTTGAGTGAATTGTGGGAAGGAAAATGATTTTACCCCAAAAGGTGCAGGGGTGGCTGGGCTGTGCAGAGGGACAGGCTGTGGGCACTGGGATGGCCCCAAATCCAAATGGCAGAGATGGGCACAGTGTCAACTCCTGTCATGCCTGAGGGAAATGGGACATCTTTGATTTTTTTTTCTCCACTTGTGTTTTCCATGATATCTGTGTGGTTTTAGTGCTTTTGAAAGCAAAAAGGAGTGTACATCCATAGAGAAACACATGGACCCTCTTGCAGCGACTTGAATTCCTGAATTTCCTGCTTTTTGATGGAKTTGGGTTGCTGGTGTCACTGATGGTCATAAAGCAGCTTCAGAGAAGTAGATGATGGTCAGTCAGGGGGTTTCAAAACTCTCTCCAGCATCAGATACAGCTTGAGGAYCACTTTGAAGGTGCTTGTGAACCTTGTGAGAACTTAAATGTAAGTTTGGGTGGAATTCTCTTGCARTTGTTAACATTGCTCTGATCATTTTTGTAACAAGTGAGGGTTCAAGTCCAAACTGAAGGATTAGACTGATTTCCACCGTTATTGTTTGCTCTCTGCCTCTCTTTCCCCGGCTCAGTAGGAATTGCCAGCTCCTCAGAGTTGGCTTCCTTGTCCCTAAAYAATCTCTGGCAAAACCAGCTTGAGTGTTCTTAAAGCTTCATTTGTATTTTAGATTTATTTAATTCACTGATTTTGCTCTGTGAGAGAAGATTGTTTTGCCCTCCATAAAACCCCACAAGAAAACGTCATCGTGACATTTTTCACCGGTACCCAGGGAGGTGACCCTTATCAAGGTGACACTTTATTTCAGTGCCACTCACAGTTCTTGTGTTACAGGGAACAAAAATGCTCCTTTTTGGCCCAGCTGGAAGAAAAGGGATACAAGGTCCCTCCTTCTGCAACAGAGCTTTGATTGTGCTGTGGACAGCAGATACTCCTGGTGCTTGCCCAAATCTCTCCTGGCTGYGGTGGTTTCAAACTGAGAAATGATTTTGCTGCACAGAAAAAAAAAAATATTTTATGGTGGCTAGAAGGAAATGTTTATTGAATTTTCTRGAAGAAAAACGCAGCTTTGATTCTGATGCTAAGAGATCTTGATAGGGAATCTCTATAGGATCTGATTTTTTTTTTAATTCTCTTAATGCACTGCAAGTTCTCCCCAAATCACAGAATGGACTGGAGGCACCACATTGCTAAATTATACTTGGTCCCCTTTGGAGGGTACAAAGGCAAAGTAAGACGTCAGATGTCGTGTGAAGAAGTTTCAGAACACAAGGTCATTTTAATTCAGCCTTTTTTTTTCCAAGGAGCTATCTTTTCCAAGCTTTGATATTTTCTTCAGAAAGGTCATTTCCTTTAAGCCTTTGTCATTAAAGACTTGTTCTTTAAAGTGCTCTATCAAAGGCTGCAGAAATTGCGAGTTACTGAAACTAAAATGCATGATCAATTTTAAGTCTGCCTACTAAAGCCCTCTTAAAATTAGATGTGCTCTGGTACTGGTGGCTTTTTTGATAAAAGGCAGGGGAAGATATGCAGTTGGTCAATTCAAACTACAAAAAAAAAAAGGGAAAAAAAAGATGATAATTAAATAAAACTTTTTCCTCCCTAAATTGGGAAAAAAAAAATTGAGGAAAAGCTTTGAAAGAACTGAATGAGGATCTGGTCCTGCAAAATGTGTCTTGTGTGTGAGAAGGAGGGAGTGTGCTGTGCTTGGGAGCAGCTCGTAGCACTTTTACACAGTGATTGTGCAGCTCTGTGGYGTTATCTGGCATTTGTCATAATGTAAATAAGGCAAACCCCTGGATAAAATATCATTTATTTACCATTTGCTGCCACACTTGGTCTCTCCTTCACTGATAGAGAACCAGGGAACAGACAAGAGTGGAGACAGCGTGTCGTGCCCTTGTTCTGCCGTCCCTGATCCCGATCTCTGCTCATCCCTTCATCCCATGAACTGTGGGATAGTTCATCCCATGAACTGTGGGATAGTTCATCCCATGAATTTGTGGGATAGTTCATCCCATGAATTTGTCCTGTGGGCCACAAGAGCTCTGCTTCCTCCCAGCCATCCTTGGGGGATTCTTTTCTCCTGAAGTTTCTTGCCCACGGAGAGGTGAAGGTGTGGCTGTCCCTCTTTAAGCTCTCAGCTCTGTTATTTTCCCTGCCAGGCAGATCCATGTCAGGGCTCACAGTGAGCAGCTCTGGGGAAGGCAGTGACAATTCAGGGCAGCACAGGGGACAGAGGGGTGATGGATTTCCAGCAGTGCTGCCTCCTGGATGTTGCAGAGCTCAGATGGAAGCAGGGCTGGCAGCCTCCCCTCCTCAACGAGCCATGTTTGCCTCCGTGTGCAGTTTGACAGAACATCGTGTTTAACCTCAGAAGAGATGGGATAAAACAAGGTTCTCTGTCAGGACTACAAATTCACGTTTCTGTCTGCACCTCAGCTCTGTTTTCCACTCCCAGCTGTGGTTGTTTCCCTTGTGCAGATAGGTGGGATGTTTCCGAGGGGACACAGGAGCCTAAAACCTTGATCTTTTTAATCTGAATTAGGTGTCCTTTGAATTTATGCACCTAACCCCTTGGAAAAAATGCCTTCAGTCCCTAAAGGAAAGCACTGATTTGCTCGCCAGCTTGGCCCACATCTGCTCGTACCCAGATGTTGCCCCAGCTAAAAGCAGCCTCCACTCAGTCCCAAGTGTTCCGTTCGTGTTCAGAACATCTTGTAGGGCCCTGCATGGGAGCTAATGTGTAACAGGGCTCAGCTCAGCATCTCTGAGAGCTGCCCAAGGCAAACCCATCCCCAGCACGTGGCGTTCCCATATGGAGAGGGAGAACAGGGACGCAGCTCCATCCTGCACGGTCCATGTATGGAAAAGCTCCAGCGCCGATGGTCTCTAGCACAGCTCCCCGATATAATTAACAATGCAATAATTAACAACAGCATCTGAGTCTCACAGCCCCTCACAGCCTGTTCCCCCCCAGAGCTGAGGCTGGCTCCAAGAGCCCCATCTTGATGGTTGCTCTCCTCGGGGTGGGTTTGAGGCATGGAAGATTTGTTGCTCGTGCTTTGGCACGTGTGTTGGAGAAATCGGACTGGCATTTCCGCTGGGTGCCGGGAGCTGGGAGCTGTGCAGGGGGCTGCTGCAGCCCCCACTGTGTGGACCGAGGCTCAAGGGGTGCTTTGTTGGCATCTCTTTGTTGTTGGCACAAAATTTGGCCAACAACAAAATTCATCCCCTCTTGGCGCTGTGGGAGAGAGCCTGTGATGGATAACGGGATCTCCCTGCGCCTGACCCAATGGATGGATGTGGGAGTGGAGCCAAGCGTGGTGCCTTCTTCTGGGAGTGCTGTGAATCCAGGACAGCTCAGAGCACCCCCTGAGTGTCCTAAGGAGCCCCCTAAGGAGCTTTGTTCGGGGGCTGCAGGCACAGCTGCTGTGGGGACAGCTGGGAGACGCCCCGAGCTCCCGGCCCTCCATATGGATGCTCGTGACCTCTGCGGCCTCGGGAGCTCCATGTGGCTGCTGGGGACACTGCAAAGGGTCAGCCC